TAAAGTTAGTTAAAATATGAGCTGTATCATCCCATATTTGTAGTAAAAAAAAAAAAAAAAAAACAAGAGTGACACCTGTGGCTCAAAGGAGTGGGGCACTGGCCCCATATGCTGGAGGTGGTGGGTTCAAACCCAGCCCGGCCAAAAACTGCAAAAAAAAAAAAGGCATAAAGCCATGTGAATAGAAAAACATTCAGTATATTCGCATAAAATGTAATGCCGGTTTTTGGAGATATTGGAGATATTATAGTGCCAGTTTTTGGAGTGTCAAGGGTACTCCAATGTTAGCTTTCTGCATTTCTGTATTTTCAAAGTTTTCTATTGTAAAAACACTGACCTTTTGTGATAATAGTCATTACTAACGTTTATGGGATGTTCTCTACACGTCTGATACTTTATGCATGACCTCATTTAATCTTCAGAACAGCCCTATGACATTGACATTCTGATTTTCTCCACTTTACAGATGAGGAAACAGGCTTAGAGAGACTGTCTTAACCAAGGTCACATAACTAACAAATTGAAGACCCAGGATCATATCCAGGTTGCCTGGCTCCAAAGCTTACGTGTGTTAAGTCAATGAATGATTGATTTAGCCATACTGTAGCCTACGTGCCCAGAGCAAGGTCACGCCCCTGGTGTAGAAATGCTTCCAGGGAGGGAATGGAGGACCTCCTACCTCATTGGTCACTGCCCGTGATTGTGCTTGACTCAGGTGAGGAGGGTGTGGCAAGTATTCTCATAGAGTCTTGTTTTTACAAAAAGTTATGATTCTACCTGAAAGCTTCAGGCCCTCCAACTTGACTCACTACCCCTGGAGGAAGCCTGGCCACTCAGACGAGTGCTGTGGTCATAGTACCACCTGCCCACCTTTATTTCTACAACTCAGGTGGCCAGGCGTGCTGACATGTTTTCATGTTTGTAATCACCCCGTGCGGAAAACAGCACATCACCTTCTTTGACTCATACGAAAATTGAGACCCTGGGTGATTTAGTAACTTGGAAGGCAGAATTGCAAAGTAGTTAACAGCACAAGCTGTGCTGTCAAATGGATCTGGATTGGGTACCAGCTCTGCCTTTCATCAACTGCGTGACTTTGAGTATTTGCATCAGCTCTCTGAGCAACAGTCTCCTCCTCTGTAAAGCATGTGTAACAGTCCTGTACTTACAGGCTTGAGGGGAAGATTAAATGACTCATAACATATTGCATTCAATAATGAATGCAAAATGGTTGGTTTAGCGTTTGGCATTCCAGAAACAATAGTTGTTATTTCAACAAATATTTACTGAGCTCCTACTATGGACAGAGCACCTAGTCTGAGGACACAACAGTGACCACAGCCGTCAAAAGTCCCTGTGCTCGTGTAGCTTGGATTCTTACAGAGAAAGACAGACAATAAACAAATACACAAATAAACAAATATATTGTGTCAGTATCTATTTTTGTAGTAGTAAGTGCTATGAAGAAAACTAAAAGGGGAGCACGAGGAACACATGTGAGAGGCAGGGGAATGGGGTTAATCCAGCCCTTTTAAACAGGGCAGTCAGGAAAAACTTCTCTGAGAAGGAGAGAGTGGAGTAGAGCTCTGGGGAGGTGAGATAGGAGCCAGTAGGTACAGATGCTCCTCGGCTTAAGATAGGGCTGCCCCAAGTAAACCCATCATAAGTTGAGAATAACATTTTATTTTATATTTATATTTTTATTTGTTTGAGACTCTACCCTATTGCCCTGGGTAGAGTGCTGTGGAGGCATAGCTCACAGCAACCTCAAACTCTTGGGCTCGAGCAATCCTCCTGCCTCAACCTCCCGAGTAATTGGGTGTATAGGTGCCCACTATGACACCCAGTTAATTTTTCTATTTTTAGTAGAAACAGGGTCTCACTCTTGCTCAGACCGCTTTCCAACTCCTGAACTCAAGCAATCTACCTGCTTTGGCCTCCCTCAGTACTAGGATTACAGGCGTAAGCCACCACACCTGGCCATAAGTTGAAAATGCATTTAATGACCCTAACCTACCAAGCATTGCATGTGCTCAGAGCACTTAGCCTTTAGTAAGCAAAATTATCTAACAGTAATTTACAGAATACTGAAAGTGGAAAACAGAACGGTTGTTTGAGTACTTGAAGTATCTTTTGAAAGTGTGTTGCTTTGGCACCAATGTAGAGTGGAAACATCAGTAACTCTAGGCATCCTACATCTGGTAGGAGGAGTGTTTCAGGCAGAAAGAACAGCAGGTGTACAGAGTGCTTTTTTGCAACATTTTATTGTGAGAATTTTCAAACATCTACAAAAAACAAGTTGAAAGAATTGTAGGGTGAAAAACATCCACCTCCCAGCTGATTGGATAATTAACACATTACCATATTTGATTTTTGACGCAGCTACCCTGATCCCCTGTACTTTTTGCACCAAGTGACCTGCCTTCAAGATTTAGAGGAAGAATATCTGTAACTGTAGTTAGAAAACAAAGGCCTTTTGCAAGAGTCACAGGGGAAGAGCGAAAACTCTGTTTTTCACAAATCTGTGGGGAGAAGCCAACTGCACGGACACCTCCCTTTCTTGATGAAAGCCTTTCTGTTCAGCGAGGAGCTTGGCCCTCTCGTCAAGCGGTCAGTCCCTGCTGCTTCCCCACTGGGACAAGATCAGGACATATAGGGGTTTGGATGCTGTGGAACCAGCCACCACTCACACTGAGTTTGCCAGCTGATAAACACAACTGTCAGGCACAGGGGTTGGCATCGCTTGGAAGTCTTTAGGGTTAATCTTGCTGACATTTCTGGTGCCCTTCGGTAGGTGGGTGCAGTTGTCTTCTTGCTTTATGGAGCTAGTACTGTGCTCAGGCCAGGAAGTCACATCCATTTATTCCCCCTATAGAAGGGAGTTCCTATTTCAGAAGTACTGACCAGGCCTGGTACAGTGGCTCATGCTTATAATCCTAGGACTCTGGGAGGCCGAAGCAGGCTGAGCTCAGGAGTTTGAGACCAGCCTAAGCAAGAGTGAGACCCTGTCTCTAAAATTAGCTGGGCATAGTGGTGGGCACCTATAGTCCCAGCTACTTGGGAGGCTAAGGCAAAAGGATCACGTGAGCCCAAGAGTTTGGATTGCTATGAGCTATGACACCATGGCACTCTAATGAGGGTGACAAAGTGAGACTCTATCTCAAAAAAAAAAAAAAAAATATTGACTGCCACAAAGAGGCCAGAAATCAGAACTGGGAGCAACCAAGAGGGGAATGGAGATGTCTGGTCTCTGGGGGTCAGGGGATCCTCTCCCTTATTTGCTGCTGGGGTAGCAGAGGAATTAGAATTCCTCTTCCCTAGACTTTTAGAATTAGGCGATTTAGAAGTAATCTGGGCTAGAGTTAAGTGGTCAGAACCAGGTGCTGAAGTCAGACTGCCTGGGTTTAAATCCCAGCTCCATTACTTACTAGCCCTGTGACTTTGGGCAAGTCATTGAACCTTTCTGTGCCTCTGTTTACTCATTGGTCATTTATCTAGTACCACATAGTACTCGCTTCACAGTGTCAATAAGTGAGTTCACACAGGTTATCATTCTTGGCTTTCCTTTTATTCACTCATTCATTCTCAGTCAGTACATTGTTAATAGCTCACTGGGCATGTCACAGAATCTCAAAGCTGCAGATGCTGGTGTGGCTGTGGAGAGAAGGGAACACTTTACACTGCTAGTGGGACTGCAAACTAATACAACCCTTTTGGAAGGAAGTATGGAGAATCCTCAAAGAATTCAAACTAGACCTCCCATTTGATCCTGCAATCTCATTACTGGGCATCTACCCAGAAGGAAAAAATTATTTTATCATATTTTATTTGGTCAGGACTGTTTAGTGGCTCAATTTACAATTGCCAAACTGTGGAAACAACTGAAATGCCCACCATTCCAGGAATGGATTAACAAGCTGTGGTATATGTATACCATGGAATACTATTCAGCCACTAAAAAAGATGGAGACTTTACATCATTTGTATTAACCTGGATGAAGCTGAAACACATTCTGCTTAGTAAAGCATCACAAGAATGGAGAAGCAAGAATCCAATGTACTTGGCTCAGCACCAGTAGCTCAGTAAGTAGGGCGCTAGCCAGATACACCAAGGCTGTCGGATTCAAGCCCGCCCCAGGCCTGCTAGACAACAGTGACAACTGCAACCAAAAAATGGTCGGGCATTGTGGTAGGCACCTTTAGTCCCAGCTACTTGGGAGGCCGAGGCAAGAGAATTGCCTAAGCCCAGGTGTTAGAGGTTGCTGTGAGCTGTGACTCCACAGCACTCTACCGAGGGCGACATAGTAAAACTCTGTCTTAAAAAAAAAAAAAAAGAATCCAGTGTACTCAATTCTGATATTAAGACAACTGATGACCTAGTACATGGTAGGGGGTGGGGGGGTCACAGTGTGTGACACATCTTTCAGAACCAAGACACAATTATAAGAGGGATTTTACCTAACAAATATAATCAGCGTAACCTGGTTCTCTGTGCCCTCAATGAATCCTCAACAATAAAAAAAAAAAAAATAGTTCACTGGGGGCCCTCTCTGTCATGTGGTAAGGTCTTACAAAGCCCCTTCTGAGCCTCAGTTTCCCTATTCATGAAATAAGAGTGTCGATCCAGTCCCTTCCTTTCTTACAAGGATACGGTGAAAATGAACTGAAGTAATGTGCAAAGGATTGTGTGTAGATGGCAAAGGAATAGAATGCCCTTTTAATAACTGAGCTTAGTAGAAACCTGTAGTAAGAATGCAGCAACTGCTTGTTGAGTGAATGAATGAATGAATGAATGAATGTTGGAATACATGCATTTCTTCCCCCTCGTCATCCTACTCCCTCTGTTCCTGTGTTAACTCCACAGACAGGCCAGTGGACCCAGCCTTGCAGCCTGAGATAAAGCCTTTGGCGGGTGTCTTCCCTATCACTCCCCTCAAGGAGGAGTGGGGAGTGGGGTGAGGCCTAGTGTGAGTGGAAGCCTGCTTAGAGGCAGACACAGGATGGGCTCTAAGTACCAGCCATCCCTTCGGGGCTGCCTGCCCCTGTGGGCCTTAACGCTGGAGGCAGCTCTCATTCTCATCTTCTTCTTTTTCGCCACTTATGACACATCCTCAAAGGATCAGAAGCATCTCATGGAGGCCTATCGAGGTGAGAGTTCATTGGAAAAGTGTTCACAAGGAAATAAGAGGCCAGGGGTCGGGGAGTACTGTGGTTCAGTGCATAGATCAGGGGCATAGATATTGCTTTCCATAAAATCCCCAAGGGAAGGGATTCCCCAGTCTTCTTCTGTAGATTGTGCCAAGACCCAGCCAATAATGCAGGCTGGGCATCACCTCTTCCACGAAGCCTTCCTTGATTTGTCAAAGCAGAGTAAGAGGCATCCTTTTCTTTGTGCCCTGAATTCCCTGTGCCATGTGGTCTTCATACTTCTCTGCTTGTCTGGTGCTTCCCCTACTTCTCCCTCCTTAGTGGATAGGAATTTCATGTTATTGCATTTTTGGTTTTCGTTTCCTTTTTTTGGTCTCTCTTTTGGTCACATTTCTGTCCCACCTTTTTTTGGGGGGGAGGGGAGTTTTAGCCTATTGCTTCCTTCTCCCTGCCCTTTACCCCAGCCTTCTTCTCACTTAGTGGCTGGGAAATCTGCATGTTGTCTGGAAGCCAGAGCCAGAAGGTACAGCTGAAGGGGAGGGAAGGATGGGGGTTATTTTATATTCAGCTAAAAATATTCCCAGACTGTGATGAGATAACGTAAACAAGACAGATGTCCACAGTGGTGTGACTTTGCTCTTTTGGAAAAATCAAGATGAGTTTCAAGGATCTCTGTAAGCTGATAATGGATTGGTCTTCTTGAGAGACGTCCCTGAGACAGAGTCGAAGCTTGAGCTTGGTTGAGTGCAAGCTTGTTCCTAAGTGGCATTAACTGACTAGCCCAAGGCAGGGCAAGTAGGATGGATGACTTAGGGAGAGTCAACTGCACTATTAAGTGACTGGCCTTCTGCACCAGACAAGTGAGACTGGAGCAATTTTAGTATGGCTCATTACTTTAAGTCTTTTCAATCCAATCCAGTCCATTCATTCATTCATCCAACCATTTATTACATCCAATGTGGGATCCACAGGATGATTAGAGCTGGTATTTATTGAACACTTGCTATGTTCCAGGCACTATTCTAAATGCTTTACATTGAAACCTCACAAGGATACTGTGAGGTAGGTGCTATTATAATTTCTGTTTTTCATATGAGGAAACTGGGCACAGGGACATTTGACTATTTTTCCTAAGGTCTCCAAGTCAGCAATAGCACTGCAGACTTAAATTTACATATTCTAGTTATAGTTTCCATGTGCTTAACCATTCTGCATCATGGCCCCATTTCACAGTGGAATTGAGTCATTTGTCATATAACCAGTGGGTGTGGGAGCTACTGTGTACAGCGTGGATTGGTTCTAGGGTCTGTGTTCTTCACCCCTGCACTGTGATACTATCACAGGTATGAAGTGTCCTTGGAAACTCACTTTATATCAAAGCACAGAGGAGGGCCCTATAACCCAGGCAGGGGAGACCATGGTATTAGGGAAGAATTCTGGAGGGAGGAGACTGCCCAACCAAGCTATGAAGTCTCAGTAGGGTTACCCAGAGGGTTGTCCAGAATGGAAGCAGGGCAGGAGCCACTATGTGCGCACACATGGGAGTAACAGTGTTAACTGGGCCTTAACATTGCACTGTACTCGGATCCTAAAGAGGGAAGGAAGCAGGTGTGGTAGACTTGCTGGGTTGAGTAAAGAGTCTGGCCTTCATTCTGCTGACCCAATGGAAAGACAGAGTGCAACAAGCTTGGGTTTGTGTTATGGAGAAAGCTATGCCAGGGTTGGTATGGGGCATGGGGAGCATGACTTGAGGAATGATACCAGTGTGGAGGTTGTAGTGTAGTATGGACCAGAGGGCTTTAAAACTTCCGATTGTGCACATACCAATTTTTGAGCATGCACCCCATTGATATACGTAGTACTATTGGGTTAATATACTTCATACATTATAATACATACACGCAAATCAGGAAATACAAAAGATGCCAAAATGAAATGTATAATATTTTCAGATTACTAATCATAATGGTGTCAGTCAATCTCCAGGCAAGGTCCATTGTTACCATTGACAATAGTAGATGTAAATCTATTCCTCAGAGTCTTCTGGATAATTTCAAGTTGTCTTGGGTGACTTGTCGGATCTGATTAGACTGACATTTCTATTTTACCCTCAAATGTGACTGACAAAGAGCTTGAACAAAGCACTCTGCGCTTCTCTCTTTTTCTTTTTCCACTTGACTGCCATTATTGTTTTGCCTCCAATCTGTGCTTTTCTGCCAGAGTCATTTAAGCCATTAGTCCATTTTGTGAAGGTTAGTTGAGTTAAACCTAGGTAATGTAATCTGTCCATACTCTTAATCTAATTCAACTTATATAAACTACAGTAGATTGTTCAAACTTGTCGATTCAAAAAAGGCATTTTTGAGATTATCAGGAAATCTGAATATAGCATGAATAACATAATATGTACAGACATTATTGTTAATTTTGTTAGATGTGATAATAGCATAGTAGGGCTGATTTTTTTGGGGGTGGGGGTTTGAGACAGAGTCTCACTTTATTGGCCCTCGGTAGAGTACTGTGGTGTCACAGCTCACAGCAACCTCCAGCTCTTGGGCTTAGGCGATTCTCTTAAGGCCCTACCTTTTAGAGAAGCATATTGAAATGTTGTGACATCTGGGTTTGGCCTCATGCCAGAAAAAAAGAAAATGTGGAGAAGGAAAATAAAAACAAGATTGGTCTTATGTGACAATCGTCAGAACTTGGAGATGGGTACTTGGGGTCCCCTTCCTGTTTTCTCTGCTTTCATGGATACTTAAAAATTTCCATAATAGGTAAAAATTTTTAAAACCCCTATCATTGCAGCATGATGAATATAGAGAAACATATCAAATCCTTCCCAGGGAACTAGTATTTCCTAAGGACACCATCTTCGTCCATTTTGTGTTGCTATAAAAGACATTTGAAGCTGGGTAATTTATAAAGAAAGAAAAAAGGTTTATTTGACTCCCAATTCTGCTGGCTTGAAGATGGGGCATCTGGTGAGGGCTTCAAGCTGCTTCCACTCCTAGTGAAAGGCAAAAAGGAACCAGAGTGTGCGGAAATCATATGGTGAGAGAGAAAGCAAGAGAGGGAGAGAGTACATGCCAGGCTCTTTTAGATAACCAACTGTTTCACCAACTAATAGAGTGTAGAACTCACCCACCAGGAAGGGCATTAATCTATTCTTGGGAGATCCACCCCCCAGCACCAAAAGACCTCCCATCAAGCCTCATCTCCAACATTGGGGAACAAATTTCCACATGCAATTTGGAGGGGACAAGGGTCCAAACCACAGCAGACACCTTTCAAAGCTGGGAGACTAGAAGCTGTCTGATGTCTTGAGCAAGTGAGGGTCAATCTGAATATTAAATACTGGGAGAGTTGCAAACTTCACCAAGTTCTTTTAGAGGTAAAATAGCCTAAATCAATGTTTTTCAAAGTGTGGTCCCTAGACCAGCTGCCTCAGCATCCCCTGGGAACTTATTAGAAATGCAGATTCTCAGGCCCTGGCCCTTAAATACTCATCAGATATTCTGGGGGTGGGACCTAGCAATCTGTGTTTAACAAGCCTTCTAGGTGATTCTAATGCACAGGGAAGTTTAATAACTCCTAGTGCTAGACTGATTCAAATCTTGCTTTTGCATCTTATTAGCTGTGACACTTTAGGAAAGTATACAACCTCCCTCTTGCCTCCATTTCAACCTCTTATCAGATGGTGATAGAACTTTTTAGTTAAGTTCCTGGAAGGATTTAAAAAACTAACTCACATAAAGACTGATGAAAAAGTATTCACTTTTGGCTCAGCACCCGTAGCACAGTGGTTATGGTGCCAGCCACATACACTGAGGGTGGCAGGTTCAAACCCACCCCGGGCCAGCTAAAAAACAACAACAATGACAACTGCAGTAAAAAATAGCCAGGCATTGGGGCAGTCATCTGTAGTCCCAGCTATTTGGTGAGGCAAGAGAATCGCTTAAGCCCAAGAGTTGGAGGTTGCTGTGAGCTATAACGCCACAATACTCTACTGAGGGCAACATACTGTGTTTCCCTGAAAATAAGACACTGTCTTATATTTATTTTTTCTCAAGAAGACACAGTAGGGCTTATTTTCAGGGGATGTCTTATTTTTATTAAGTATAATACAACAATCTATATTTATTCAAATACAGTTAAGTCATCTTCTTCTGGAACCTGACAGGGGGAGCCAACCTTGTCGGTGGGGCTGATGCTAGTGATGCATGAACTCCTTTCCCCTAGCCGTTAGCATGTGTGCAATAGGATGCCTGCAACTGCGGTTACCACACATGCACCCGCGCAAGTGCGAATAGCTCAGCGAAAGAAGTTGTGGCAGATAAAACGTATTCTAGTCTTCCTTACCACTCCGCCCCAAAATGCAGGGCGTGGCTATGCAGATATGCTGCATGGCCACACCCATCACTAGTTCTTATTATTGGGGTAGGGCTTATATTTAACAAATGCATAGAAATCCTGCTAGGGCTTATTTTTTGGGGTAGGTCTTATTTTGGGGGAAACACAGTAGTGAGACTGTCTCAAAAAAAAAGTATTCATTTTTATTAGTAGTAAATTTTATTTTCTTATTTTTTTAGATTAAAAATTAAAAGAACTAGAAGTGCTACTATTTTCTTCCAGCCACCCCTGCTGATTGTCTAAAGCATCTTCTGAGGTGTGTGTTCCTTGCTCTCATGACCAGTAATCTGGAGGACCTATGATGAGGCCAAATGGACTGGGGCAGAAGAGGAGAAGCAAGGGGTCAGATTCCAGAGCTATTTAGGAGATAAAATCAGCAGATATTTAGGAGATAAAATCAGCAGCACTTTGTGAAAAGAGGGAGGAGCGGAGGATGGCTTCAGGAGTCATGTAGAGGCACCAGTTCCTGAGATAAGAGGCACAAGGGTGGGGACAGGTTGTCATATGTTCATTTTGGGTTTGGAGTTGAGCTGCCTGAGAGACACTTACGTGAAGCAGAGTATATCACTTATCTGTTGCTGCCTAACAATTACCCTAAACTTAGTGGCTTATAATAGCAACCTTCTTATTTACTCATGGTCATGATTCTGTGGTTCATTCAGCAGTTGGGCTGGGCTCAGCTGGGCAGTTCTTTTGATTTCACCTAGGGTCAGTCATACATCTATAGCCTAGAGGTTTGATTGGGGTGGGATGGTCTCCAATGGCCTCATTCAGTTGTTTGGGAGTTGGTGGTTCATGGGGGCCATTACTATAACAATCTACTACCACACACAGCTACCTTAGGTCTGCCAAATTAAGGGGCAATCCAGGGCCCTGTGCTGCAGATACCCCTTCTTCCAACCCAATACTTCTCAGAGGCAGGGAGAAGGGCTCCTAGAAGACAGGAAATGTTTTCCCAGTGACACGTAAATACCCCAAACCCTGGCACCTCCACATCTGTGCCCTGGGCTGTCCCTTGGGGAAATCCCTTTTTCTCTTCTCAGGCTGCTGCAGGGATCAGGGTAGGTGGGATTAGAGGCTGTCAGGGAGGAAGAAGCAGTGTGGGGCTCCATGGAGGGCACCAGGGTCTTTTCACCAGGGTACGCAGTGTGGAGGTCAAGCCTGGAGCCTGAGGGACAGATACTGGGTCTGGTTTCAGAGATGTTAATGCTAAAGTTTCTGCAGGCTAGAGGGAGGGGTAAGAGTGGGGACAACACAGATCCAGAATCATGGGAGCACCTGGCTGACGGAGGCAGCTGTCCAGGGAGTTGGATTCAGAAGGCCAAACTACTGTTATCCAATTGCAAGTGGACTCTTTGCAACAGGCCTGGAGAGGGAACAGTTTTGCCTAAAGCCAAATAGCTAGTAAGTGGCAGTCATGGGTGATAGCTACTAATACTGACCATGTACTGAGGGCTGGGCAAAGTGTTTTGTGTAAGCCAGTAAGCTCAATGCCCACAGCAATCCTCAGAAGATGTCATTGTTTCATGCCCGTTGTACAGATGAGGAAGCTGGGACACAGAGGTAGGCCGGGTTCTGAACCCTGATCACCTAATTCAGAGACCCACACTCTTCATCATCACAGTACACATGCTACATGGAGAGGCAGGATGGTACAGTGGTAAAACCAAATAGTTAGGCTTTAAGTCCCACCACCATTTACTAGGCAGATGACTCGGGCCGGTTACAGCACTTCTCTGTGGCTCCTTTTCCCCATCTCTACAATGGAGATAATCAGCAGTACCTACTGCATGGGTTGTGTGGGTTGTGAGACACCTAGAACAGTGCCTCGTATGTCTCAGGCACTCACTACGTGCTGCTGTTACAGCCATGGTGATTATTGCCTTGTCTCTCCCAGCTGATCTCCCAGGTTAATCTTTCTTTCTCCAAGGCATGAGGCTTTCATAAACTTCTCCTGAAGGTCTAGTCACAGGGGGCCCCTGTAGCACATCCTTATCTCCCCTGAACACCTTACTGTCCCTCAGTTTATCAGACCAGTGGCTGTTGTGGGTGGGGACCAGGCTCTGAGAGGTGGAGACTGCCACAGGGGCCATGCTCTGAGCTGGAACCCAGCCCTGGGGCAGGACCCAAGTAGTGAGCCCATAGCCCCGGGAGGCTGGGAGAGGAAGTGGGAGGAGGCAGGGGCCAGGGAAAAGAAGGCCTAAAACCGAATGTTATTTGCTGACCAGTCCAGGGTGCATGGGCTCTGTCAACAGCTCTTGGAAACTGCTGCCCTAATTTCATCTTGTTGGCTGAAACACAATTCCTTCCTCAGGGACAGCGTGTGGCCTTGAGGAGCAAGGGCCTGAGCGCCTATCTCTGGAATTGGGGCAGCAGGTGTGTCTCATAAAGTCCCCCACCCAGGATCCTCTGACTTTTTAATCTTTAGGGCCCCACTTCTGCCCTTATCCTGGTGACTCTCCCACCCTCCTGCTAGGCCTCTCCTTGGAATATTCCAGAACTGGAATAGAGTCTTAGAGAGTATCTGGGCCAACTCCTATGTGATACAGATAGGGAAATTGAGGCCCAAAGAGGGCAAGGGACTTGCCTGAGATCCTTTAGCAAGGTGAGGGAGACCATGGAAGGTGAGACAGCCTACCTAGCCTGCGGAAGGGCACTAGTGCAGTAGTTCAGAGCTGGGTTCTGCTGCTGGTGTGCTGTGTGGCCTTGGGGAAGTCACAGGCTGTCTCTGGTCCCCTTCTGTAAAATGGGAGGGAAATGGAGGGGCCTCCTTACTCATAGAATCTTTAATATATCTGGACCCCATACATACAGTGTTGCTACAAAATGGCAGTGGCATATTTCTTTAGCAGTTGAATTTTAATATCTCCAGTGGGGTATGCCACCTCCAATTGTCCACAGACCTCACTGCTCCCAAATGCATATTGCACCTTAATACACATATTTCCTTAGATCCTAAAGGAATTTGAGTGCTCTCAAGAGGAACCTCTGTACAAAATATGCCTGGCCATCCACTCCTAAGAGGATGCCACCCCACCCTCGTTCCTAAGAGGATGCCAGCAGGAGACCCAAACAGTCTCTGTACCTCTCTCCCCCCATGTCGCAGGAAGCACCAAGAATTGAACCCTCCCTAATACCTACTTCTTGCTCACTCCCCAAGTCCCCAGGTCCTATTGATGTCCTTATGTCAGGGTCTCATATATCCTGATGTTGTCAGATTGAT